GTGCCTATCAAGGCCGGCTCATCAAGGGCCGTTACTGCCAACGGTTCCGGCTCGGTCTCGCCCCCGCCGAGGAGAATCACCGGCCCGAGAAAGAGCCCTACTGCCAAGCCTTCCAAGACCATCGTTCGTAGGACTAACTCGACTGGCAAGAAGGACGGCACTGGTGAGAAGAAGGTTGGCAGGCGTCGTGGACCCCTCCTTCCTGAGCAGCGTAAGCAGGCCAGCGAGATCAGGAAGCTCCGTGCCTGCCTCCGTTGCAAGTTCCTCAAGAAGACCTGCGACAAGGGTGAGCCTTGCGCTGGTTGCCAGCCTTCTCACGCTCGTTTGTGGCAGGTGCCTTGCACTCGTATCGATATCAAGGATATTGGTTACTTTATGAAGGACTGGAAGGCCGACTACGAGCGTCATCTCGACCGTGGCATGTCCGTCTTCAACGTCAAGGGTTTCGCCCAGAAGGAGACTCTCATGTGGATCACTCACGGCTATGGCTTCTGCCTCCCTGTCATGGTTCGTGAGGTGTTTGTTGCCGACACAAGCTGCTTCCAGGTCGACTGGGTCGAGTCTACCCTCACCGACCAGGAGCCTATCGACTTCGAGATCCGCACTGAGCGCCTCGACGTTGGCCATGAGGGTGTCTCGGTCGAGGCTCTCTCCGAGTACCTCGACAAGCACGTCGATGAGGGCTTCGAGCAGTTCATTGATGACCACTTTGAGGGTACTCCCTTCATCACTGAGCTCTTCAAGACCGCTCACAGGTTCTACGTCAAGGAGCGCCTGCCTGTCATTCGCAAGGCTCTCAAACTTGTTGTGGCTTACAACCTCACTCTTCACATTACCATGGTTGAGCAGCCACCTACGGAGCAGCCCATGGAGGGCCAGATTGATGACGAGGACTCCAAGTACTTTGGCAAGGTTGTCGCCCCTGTCATGATCAACTTCCAGATCAAGTGCGCCATGGCCGATATGTGGCGTGAGCTCCAGAAAGAGGTTCTCGAGGAGCTCTCTGCTCTCTACTCTTCCGTCTACAGCGGAGAGCGCCTCAAGAACTGGCCTACCATCTTCATGCTGGCTGCCATTCTCTTGGCTGTCTGGGAGGAGATCCAGTTCGACTGCCATTATCGTGTGCCTGACCCTATCGCTGTCAACAAGTTCTGTGATGACATGGAGTCTACTCCCGTTGGTGTCATTGTTGGCCTCTTCCACGCCATCTCTCAGAAGCTGCCCGCCTTCACGGAGTGGGATACTCGCAGGCATGGTCAGCTGCTTAATAATAACGTTGCCGTCTGCGAGGCCATGACCGAAGTTAGACAGCATGTCCTCAAGCATGGTGAGTGATGACCCCTCATTTAATGTCAGCATTGTGTAACCCCAAATACTAACCCGCGCGATAACAGAATCCTACCTCAGGACCCGTCAAGAAACCAAGTTCGACCGTTACGACTTTGACTCACTATCAAACAAGTTCCTGTCGAAGCTGGTTATCCGGGCCAACTAAGGTTGTTTCTTTGCTTGCTGCACTCTGCCTCTTTTGATTGCGATAGCCGTTATCATGCTTACGGTTACAACAGCACTTTACAGCAAAGCTCGCGAGAGCTGGTCTGTTCTGGTTTCCTGTTTTCCTCTTTTATTTTTCATTCCATGGGGCCATTGAGCGACGGCGTTCTTATCGTTAACTTTTTTTTCTGGCTACTATTTCTTATAGTCAACCAATTTTTTTTACTCTTTTATTCTTTTGTGGCATTTTCATGGCTGCGCACACACACTCACTCGGGGGCTGGTCACCACCTACGAACAACACGATACGAAATGACTGACGTCCCATCATGACGGATCAATATTTGATGACTTACACATTTGACGAAACACTTCAACGAATTTTACACACAAGACATACACAACACCATACGCTACACTACTACGCATACAACGCAAAAAGCTAAAACCAGTACGATCTGCATGACTGGCATTTTTAAAGTTTAGTTGGGAGAGAAGAAAGTCGCTCACGGGAAAAGGGAAGGGCATGGGATGAAGCCTCAGGGGCAAGTGAATGGAAAGGGTTGTTGGGATCGAACGAAATAAGCACAACATAGCAACAACAACTCAAAGGGGAGGAAGAGGAGGAAAAGTCTTGGGATTTGCATTGGGTAATTTGGCGTTTTTTGTTTATCTGATCTGGTTCTATTTTTGGTTTTAACAACCAATCTAGCTATGGATTGATGGGGGGTGGCTTTTTTTTTGCATAAGCGCGCGCGGGCAATCCGCGACCTAGGCGAGGAAAACCTCTCTTTTTGAGAAATACTTATTGGTTATTGTTGATGAGTAACTCACTGTTCAAACGATTGATTTGATGTGATCTTTTGTTGGGTTGAACACGTAGATGTTGGATGAAACTAAACAGCTGTATCACGAGGAACTGGCTGAGCCTATGTCCCAACAGAACGGGCACACTACCCCATCTTTATTTCAACGACGCGACCCTTTATCAGATGGAAAGAGGTCGTTCGCCCATTGGGTTTCTTGTTGCAAGGCTCCGAATAACCGTCATATCATTGATCTGATGCGTGGTGATGTAAATACTGCTGTGTTGAGGATTGTTTAACAGTACGATTGTCAGGACTCTGTGGCACATATTCCGTTCGTGGCCAAGGGACGTTTCTAAACCAAACGAGTACTAAAAGATCAAGATCATGATGCCATTGATTGCAAACGGAAATCATACAGGCATAGGCAGTTGGGAACGTCAACGACTCTCTGTCCCACTTCAACTGCCAACGTCGAGCGCGTTCTGCGTTCCATTCATTTCATCACTGTATAGAGAGACAAGTCAGCTTTCAAGGTCACAAACGCCTTAGTATTCCGATGTTCCTCTGACTATCACCGTCAACAATCCACCTGCCAGAGTGATTCATTCATACACCCAAAACTCTCATGATGCTATATCGCAGAGTGATGATGCGATGATATGGTGTTCTATACCAATGGACTACATTATGAATTGCACGACTCACTGATGTCTCGGTCTGATGACGTCGAATATTGTCATCCGATCATGGGATGTCGCAACCACCCAAACCGACGCATGGAGCGGTACGGGGGTGGAGGTTGTGGCTGCGCGGGAGTCCCCGGGCCCCGTACAGTGGTCCCGGCCCCGGTCCCACCCGAGGTGGTTGGCGGGCGGGACGGGATTCGCGGGGATCGGGGACGGGACTCCAGGAGTTCGTGATGGTCTGGGGGTTGGGGTTGGGGTTGGGGTTGTGGCTGATGACACCGCGAACTAGATAAAGCAAAGGATAGAATATGGAGGCGGTTCATATCGTGATCTTGCACTGCAATGATTACTGACCAAGGTAGCCAAGGACACGACATTATCTCTGAAACGTGATTATAACATTTCGATAGCGAATGAATGATTGGTTGACAGTGACTTCGATACGGATGGTTCATGCGTGAACGGAGGTTGGGGAATGTCAATGTCAGTCAATGTCAATGGCGGAGCGACGGACCTGACCCTCCAAAAGTGCGGGGCGGTGGAGCGAAAAGAGGCCACGATAATGCCGGGCGATAACGGCAGGAACGGAGTCACGACATCATCGGTCGGGGGGCTGGTGGGAACCTTTGCGGCCAGCCAGGCAGTCATCGGAATCAGCGGTCGGTCGGTGAAATGACTCTCTCTTGAAACTCTACCGGCCGACGTCAACAACCACGGTCGGAATGCCGATAGAAAAAGTCAAGAGGACATTCAGAGGTCCGGGTTTCGCGTTCCGTTCTCGGTGTCCTGCCTGCCTCGTGTTACGGAAGAAATGGGCGCGCGTGGCGGAGCGAAGGTCGTCGTCGTACCGGATAGGACAGAGTTGCTCACCTCAGCAGCCTGGAGGTTGGCGGCGGAAGAACACTGTGGTCGTACCGTGCCAGTTGATTCGCCCCTCACTGTCTGGAGCTGAAACGATGGATGCACCTCCGAGCTCGTTCCGTTCATTCTTTCGTTCGACGACCAACACCTCGACCGTTGGTGATACTTTCTAGTGCTGATTTGAAAGAGAAGGCCTGGACCTGACTGATTTATCATCTCCTCAGTGATTCCAACGAATATTGCTGGAAAGTGTAATCCAGCAGTTGCTTTCTCAGCTCTTCCCTGTTTGCCTTTTCGGTTGCCCTTGATCGGACCACGTCATTGACCGCTCACTTGGGGGTTCGCTTATCAAATGCGGGGAACCAGCAACGTGCACGCCTTCACGCCGACATGCCTTGCTGCTGTCAGTGAAGCACCGAGAGGCCAACAACACTTCTGAAGGGAAATGAACAATGGTGAATTCAAAATCATCGAGAGAACCCTCTCAAAATCCCATGAAGTGACGAGAGTTTGGGATGGCATTCACGGATTTGTAAACAAACTCGACGGTCGTGAAGCCGCATGCAGATCATTCTTTGGCTTATTCATCCGTCTCAAAGGCAAACGGCCTGACAGTGCAATCAACCAGCCACGGTCACTGTTCAGGGGGGATGTCCAACCACTCCGTCTTTGCCAACGGGCAACAGCCAACCAACAGCCAACAATCAAGGGGGAGGTGTCGCCTGACTGGTCTCTTCTCGCGCCTTCCCTCCACTTCTTCTGTCACTCCCAACCGCCAAGTGGCTCGTGCGTGGCCCGTCCCTTTGCGAACGAAGTGAGTGACACACCACTCACACCGTGGCAGGCGTTGAGGTTGGATCCCCTTCACGGCCACTCAGCCCCCCGCTTCCCTTTCCAGACCAGTGGAAGCCTGGCCGCCCCTCCAAGTTCGCCATCCTGATTCCTGCCACTTCCACGACACCTGGACCTCCTACTTATTTAACCCTCCCGCCCATCTGCAACTCGATTCCCTTTCTCCTGTTTCATCATCTCTCTCCATCGCCGTCTTTGCTGGAGTATTCATCCACCACATACACATCATCGCCGCCACGACTCTAGTCATTCCGCTTAATCCATCAACGGTCCATTCGTCTACTGCGCAACCGCCATCATGCAGATCTTCGTCAAGACTTGTAAGTTGCTGTCGCGCTCACCGCACCATCACTTCACCGACAGACCGATGCTAACTGCGCTTCTAGTGACTGGCAAGACCATCACCCTCGAGGTCGAGTCGTCGGATACCATCGACAATGTCAAGCAAAAGATTCAGGACAAGGAGGGCATTCCCCCCGACCAGCAGCGCTTGATTTTCGCCGGCAAGCAGTTGGAGGATGGTCGCACCCTTTCCGACTACAACATTCAGAAGGAGTCTACTCTCCACCTTGTCCTCCGCCTTCGCGGTGGTATGCAAATCTTCGTCAAGACTCTCACCGGCAAGACCATTACCCTTGAGGTGGAATCGTCCGACACCATCGACAATGTCAAGCAAAAGATTCAGGACAAGGAGGGTATCCCACCTGATCAGCAGCGTCTCATCTTTGCTGGAAAGCAGCTCGAGGATGGCCGTACTCTCTCCGACTACAACATTCAGAAGGAGAGCACCCTGCACTTGGTGCTCCGTCTCCGTGGTGGTATGCAGATTTTCGTCAAGACCTTGACGGGCAAGACGATTACGCTGGAAGTCGAGTCCTCGGATACGATTGACAACGTGAAGCAAAAGATTCAGGATAAGGAGGGCATCCCGCCCGACCAGCAGCGCCTGATCTTTGCTGGCAAGCAGTTGGAGGATGGCCGGACCCTGTCGGATTACAACATCCAGAAGGAGAGCACTCTTCACTTGGTGCTGCGTCTCCGTGGCGGCCAGTAAGCGGATGGTGGTCTTTGTTTCTGTTTCTTGAGATGATGAGGACGGGTTCACTTGGGCGTTTAGCGTTTATTGGGTCACTACACTATGGGTTGGGAAATGATAACCATGAAACTGGGCATTATTTAGCTGACTTCTAATGGCATACGCTCATATACAAAGCGATGTCATAATAAGACTATATTCACAGTCTCAATAAACTTTGTATGTCTCCGTGATTTGCTTGTATCTTAAGCTTTGTGAACTTGGTTACTCCGGTCAGATGGTGATGGAGTCGAACGTGTAAGTCGAGACGGTGGGTTGTTACACCGTGCGAGGTGACCGCTGCGTGGCCGGAAGTGGCACCTGGTTGGTGGACAAGATGCATGATACGTAAAGGTACGTACCGACCACCGAAATTGCGCTAGTCCGACCGTGGATCCCCTGTAAAGGACGGTCCAACATCCAACGTCCACTCTTTCATCGGCGGCTCTGTCATGGTTTGTGGGAAGAGTGATTGTGAAGAGGGCATTCGGAAGAGGCACCCTTCTCATCCTCTCATCACCAGGGCAAGAACTACCATTGCATGCATGAACCTGCAAATATAGGCACCAGCGACTTCATTTACATAAGGCGACATGTCCAGGCTGTGGAGGGGCTTCCGCATCTGAACCTGACCTTTGTTCAATCTGCTGTTCACTTTCTTGACCTTTCTCTCCCCGTCTTTTATCTGTCACTTGACAACCAACCCAACACCACCTCAGCATCTACTTTCATCAAGTTTCCCATCAAACTTCAAGACGCACGGCTTATTTACCGTCGTCGCTTAATCGCTCGTTGACTTTACTTTATCAACAAGGAATCATTGCTTTTCGACCATACTATGAATCGGTCCATTTTATGCCATGCCTGTCTACCGCTACCACTTGAAGTTTGAGCTCTACCCTTCTCCAGATCCTACACATATCACGCCCGCCGCCGCATCGACTCCTGATATCTGGATACCCACCGAGAACTCGTCCATATTTGACGAGCTCCCCGCCCATCCTCGCACCTGGCAGCTCAAGGCTCCGTCTTCAAGGCCGTCGTCCAAGAGGGAGCAGCATCGAGACTATATTCAAGGGTGGAGTGCGGAAGCCGACCAAACGGAAGAGGGAGAAGAAAAGCGTCATTCCGGACCAAAATCGGAGTCGGCAGTAGTCAGGGACAGCTCAGACGACGACGCCGAGGAGGGGACGGAAACCGGCGGAGTTATCGACTGCGGAGCGTCCAGACCAAATCACCAAAACCCTGAAGACAATAGGAACATCGTCAGGCTCCCAGACAAGCGATCACGCGAGACTTCTCCACCGCCAAAGTTCACGTCTGGAATAGGACCGCGGACGGCAGCTAAGGACTGGCGCTTCGGAAGAATCAGCATCGAGAGTCTTGACCTGCAACGGGACGAGCATCCGCAGGGACACGCACAAACCGAAGCGGAGGATAAGAAGCGGAAGAAGGGCAAAGGGAAGGATACCAACAACACCACTGCTGGAGCCGGAAAGTCGGCAGCAGCCAAGAACAACAAGTCAGCCATGGCCGAGTCACAGAAAGATCACGGACGGTCATCCCAACCACAGAAGAATGGCAACGGGAACCATGTCCCCCACGGGACACCAGCGGCCTCTCTAGGCCCCAACCTTGGTGGAATGGGCCAAGCCACCAAGGGACGATTCCTCCCCCTCGAAACCAAGAACACGGAAGTTGGCTGGGGTATCGTCCATCTCTACCGTGAGGCCGACGAGAGCAGTGCTCTTCGGGCCGGGCTGGGTGCAGGCAGCGCCAGTGGTAGCAGCGACGCCGGTACAAGCAACGGAACTGTTAACAGCGGTGACGACGGCACTATTCTCTGCATCACTGCCGTTCCCATGTACATGAGTCCGAGTGACTTCCTGGGGTTCATAGGAGAAAAGTGGCGCGACGACGTGAGCCATTACAGAATGATCATGACGAGCAAGTTGAATCGGTACATGGTTTTGATGAAGTTTCGGGATACGCAGAGGGCAAAGGATTTTAGGGTTCAGTTTGATGGGAGGCCGTTTGACAGTATCGAGGTGAGTTTCTCTTGATACCTTGCGGCTCTACAGCTACGGTTATGATGGGTGTCTTTGTTGTTGTTGCTAACCTCGCGTTTCGCAGACCGAATTTTGCCATGTCGCCTACATTCAGTCCATCACCGTGGAATCACATGGCACCCAGAACGGTCACAGCACCACTGCCAGCAACGCAGGCGGAAACGGTAGCCAAGTTGACACCCTTCCCTCACCCAGCAACACCCTCAACCTGCGACCGTTTCCACCCCCGACCCCCAACCTGATCGAGCTGCCAACCTGCACCGTCTGTCTCGAGCGCATGGACGACACAGCCGGTCTCATGACTATCCTCTGTCAACACGTCTTCCACTGCACCTGTCTCCAAACCTGGAAGGGCTTCGGTTGCCCCATCTGCCGCGCAACCAACCCCAAGCCCACCGCAGAGGAAACCGACCCGGAAAACCCGTACTCGCGACCCTTCGGCTCGGGACCTATATCTAACCTTTGCAGCGTCTGCGACGAACCCTCGGACCTCTGGATCTGTCTCATTTGCGGCAACGTCGGGTGCGGCCGGTACAAGGGCGGACACGCCAAGGAGCACTGGAAAGAAACGGCTCACAGTTTCAGCCTGGAGATGGAAACACAGCACGTCTGGGACTACGCAGGCGACATGTGGGTGCACCGGATGATCCGCGAAAAGGGCCAAGGCAAAGTCGTCGAGTTCCCCAGCCATCACATCCACAACAACAATACCTCTTCGGAGCGCAACAACACCAATCCCCCGGGAGACCGCGCCCCGGCATGGAGCTCTCAGGAACAGACCATGGCGGCGGTAGCCGGTGCCCCCTTGCCCCATCATGCCCCGGTGTCCGAAGACCAAGAAGTCGTCCCCCGCGCCAAGCTCGACAGCATCGGTCTCGAGTACACCCACCTCCTCACCTCGCAGCTCGAATCACAACGCATCTACTTTGAGGAAATGGTCGCCAAGGCAGCGGACAAAGCCTCCAAAGCATGTGCCGCCGCAGACGCCGCCTCGGCCAACGCCTCCCGCGCCATCAAGGAGTTGACCGATTTTAAAGAGCAGCATTTTCGCCTAAAGGAAGAAGTTGCCACTCTAGAGCGGGACCTCGCGCGCGAGCGGAAGCGAGCCGACAAGAGCACGGAACTGGCGAGGAACTTGTCGAAACAGCTCCAGGAAGAGAAGGGAGTCGGGGAAGGACTGATGAAGAGGATCAAGCACATGGAGAAGGAAGCAAAGAGCACGCAGGAGGAGCTGGCTAAGCTGCGGCAGCAGAATGAGGAGCTTATCGAAACCAATCATGATCTGTCCATGTTTATCAGTGCGCAGGACAAGTTGAAGGAGATGGAGGCTGAGGGACAGGTGACGGCGGAGGAGCTGGAGGAGGGCGGGATGGTGGTTATTCCTCCTGAGCAGGGGTCGTCTTCTCGTAATGGGAATCAAAATGGGGGCCAGCAAGGTGGTGGTGGTGGTGGTGGGAAGAAGAAGGGGAAGGGGAAGGGGAAGAAGTAGAACAAGTAGGATTGGAAGCTGGGAGTGGGGTTGATGGTTGTTGTGATGCATATTACGATAAGTGGTGCGATGAATACATAGTGAAGGGGGGGAAGGGGAAAGAAAGGGATACGGAAGCGGAGGAGAACCAGGAAATGGTTGGCGAAGGGCATGACTGAGGACCACACTTCGTTGGCTTTAGCGATGTAGTTTGAACACACAATGTATGTGGTGATAGCGAACCAACCCAGAAGGGTCCAAGAATGATGAATAAAAAATTGCCCGAGTTAGACGTCGTTCATAACATCATCCAGGAGATAAAGAAAGCTTACGAAGAAACCATATGTCTGCCCTGTAACCTGTTGGTGTTACTTGACTCCTAACGAGGTTGTCACAGGGTGATAGCTGTGACGGCCTTATAGTGTGCACTTCGAGTTTTGCCTTGCAAGCAGAACATCGTCTATCTTTTATCGGATAGTTTGGCGTTGTTGGGATATGTGCACCCCCTGCCCTGTCATAGAAGTAAGTAGTTTGCAACAACGGTGACAAGTGTTGATTCATAGCGAAGAACTCAAGAATGGTCCAAGAATGAATGGTATTTATTACCTTGTGAATACATAAACATCCATTATTGCCTCGAGCATTGGAGTCTATAGAGTTCGCAACGCCATCTTACCCAGGTATGGTGGGTGTAGTATAAAAGGCAAAGCCATGAGTTTTCGAAACAAAGAAAGGATGAAAAAAAGAGAAAGAAAAGGAAAGATAACAAGAGAAAAAAAAGGGGGAAAAAAAAGTGTAGACCGTACCGAATTCAAAACCGGTCGGTAAGAACACGCCATGCCTAAAGCCGCGGAACAGTACCTAGGTATTGGACGACGATACGGTGGATTAAATCGGTAGTGTTTTAGCCAGTACCTGTACACCGACGGACCACGTTGAATAGTAAGGTAGGCAGGAAAGGGAAGGAAGCTTATAAACCCATGCGTCAGGGGGAAGTGGGAGTTGGGAGTTGGGAGTTAGGATGGCGATGGACAAAGCCCTGAAACATCATTCGCTGCCTATCTATCAACCGTACGTCGAATTATGTGTGCGTAGTGTTGTGGTCGTCGTGAGTTGAAATACTTGGTAGAAAACGATTCCAGTGATGATGCGTGCCTGCCTCCCATTCGCCTCACCTGTCGTTTTGACCATGTCCGACATTGATAGAGGTAGATAGGTAGATAGATATTAGTTGACTTATGTCCTTCCTTGTCTGTGAGTGACTCTGGCTCTGCGTGTTTTTGTGGTGATAGTGATGGTAGGCAGATAGACAGACAGACAGATAGATAGATAGATAGATAGATAGACGGTCGTCGGTCATCCACGTGTTCTTTAATGGCAAGTAGATAGGTAGGTAGGAAAGTGTTGCTGTTAATGCTGATTTCTATCGACACTTTGAATTGAGCTTCACACGCTGTATACCAGGCAGGGCTACACGGACACATCAGCGAGCAGAACGGCAGGGACAGCAGCATTGGTTGGGATGGGATGGGAGTAAAAGGTACAATCTCCCCATCGCATCATCAAAGAAAGTCATCGGCGTACAGCACGGCATAATATATCCATCCATCAATTCACAGAACAGTCAGTGTTTGTTACCTACCCCAGTGATGGTCTTACTTCGCTTCCACAGTAACAAGAGGGAGATTTTGAGGCTCTTGAGGTTGGGTGGAAGTTCAAACTTGAATTGGTGGGGTAAGTAAGGTAACCGAGAACATGAAAACGAAGCAAATCTATCGGTATATATATGCAACAAATAACTGCATGTCCAATGGCAGAAAGAAAATAACAGATCTGGCCGCCTTGCTAATGACAAGAGACAAGAAAAGAACAAGGGGTGAAGAATAAAGTCCAAAGAAGAAACAAAAAGACAACAGCAGCACCAACAACAACAACCCTAAGGGTATCAACGGCGTCTCTTCCACTCCTCGCATGGACCATCCATCACTCCTTGATACGGCAGTTGATCATGCTTCGTCAACACCAACACCAACATCTTCCTAGCTTCCTAGCTTCTCTCACCATGCACATCCCATCGCCCATCCTGCCCATAGTCCATAGCCCATAGCGTCTAAGTTCGTTCATCAAAGTCGTTAATAAGAAAACATTGAAAGAAAAACACGAAATTCGAAAAGCCTGATATCACACCATGACCGACCACTCATGCATAACCACCACCACTAACCAGCTGGCCGTATTAGCCAGCAACTTTGGTGTTTGGTCCGTGAAATCTCCGTCCACCGAGAACGAACGAACGAACCCCTCCTTCGTGTCACCTTTCTCTTTTCCGAGCGAGTAGACTTGCTGAGTGGGTTAGGCGAGAATGGGGCTTTCGTTGACGAGATTTCGTGTAACCACCCTTTCCTATTTCCAGGTTCTCCGAGTTCATCGTAGCTGAGTGAGGTAGTAAAAGCTTGTGAAGAAGTGTCAGGGTAAGAAAGTGAACGGATAGCTGAGCTGAAGTTGCAGAGGGCGGCCACGGGATGGTCAAGTTTCCGGTCTTTTGCTGTTGCGTTTCGCTTTTGTCGTGTATAACACGATGTGTTGTTGAAGATGCACCTCGTATAGGCCGTCTTAGAGCGGTAGGTGGTAGTTCTAGTCGCATTATGTTGTGTCGTGTAGTGTTGTGTTGTCTTGCGTTGTATGCAAGACCCGCCCGGTCGTTCGCCCAGTCGCCCACACACACCCACCCCCATCCGCACCACTGTACTCCTCCTCAGCCTTAGCACGTCATCGGCACCCGTTTTGGAGAATTACCATAATCGCGTGCTTTCGCACGCCATAGGGTTGATTATTCCCGTGACACGCGTGCGCCTGCGTTTGGGGTTCAGCAACTGTCTGCAAATTTGATGCATTTGGCGAGTGCATCTCCGCGGCTTTTTGAGGAGGACCTCACAAAAAGGTGCGTTTGCCCTGATGAATGGGAATTTTGAAACTCAATCCACCCAAAAGTCGTTCCTTCTTATCGCTTTGTTGATTTTTGCACAATTGTCTCCAGATTTATTTCGTTTGCAGTCGAATGCGAATATGAAAATGCTTCGTTACTTCGTTTGTCGTCAAAAAACCTCCAATGGTGTAGATACGCAACCCTTTCTTCGATAGAACCACAGCAGACACTTCATGCAAACCCACCACAAACTCAGTCCGCCAGACCAGCCATTCCCGCCGTCGCCGAAAAGTTCCCATAGACGCCCTCATCGCTGCTTTCGCTACCCATACTCCTCGGGCTCTGCACGCCGCTCGCATCACCACTCATCGGCTGCTGAAACCTCCTATCCAGTCCTCCTCGAACATAGCTCTCATTGAACCCACTCATGCTGTTCACGCGCCCAAACCCAGAAGACCCCGGGCTACCAACACCACCATATCCGCCTCGCGGCACAGACCCGGTCCCAGTCCCGAGAGCGAGCAGGCTCTGACTCCTCATCACTTCCGTATTAACGCCCACCCCGACGTTGACCGCACTCCCGCTCCTACTCAGCAGCGGCTTCTCAGGCAACTGCTTCAACAACCCGGTCGAAATATCCAGCATTCCCATCGCAAACTCCGTCAAGCCCTTGTGACCCTCGCCGGGCTTCGAGCTGACGCTGAGTGTCCAGCGATACTCGCCCAACCGACGCCTGTACCAGTCTGCCTCCTCTCTGCCGGGAGAAGTGGCCCACAGGAGCGATCCGAAGGTGCCGATTAACGCAAAGTTGGTCTTGGAGGCAAAATACCAGAAGGCGCGCAGATGGGAAGGCGTCAGGCGGTTGACAAAGTCCATGGCGGAGATCAGACGGGCCTTGGCAGCACTTCGGCAGATGTGCTGGATATACGGGTCGATGTTACTGGCGGTCGAGCCAGGGGTGCTGCTCGTTGTGCTGTTGACACTGGCGCTGAGTGAGGCGATGGTGGAGCCGGAGGATGAAGAGGAGGAGGCGTCAATCGAGCGGATGATGCGGCGGTGGAGAGTGATCTCCGTGGCAAAATAGGCGAGGTGGAGATACCCGATGCTGGAGAGGCGGTTGTTGTTGTTCTGCGACATGGTGCCGCTTTGAAACGTTGAATCCATGCGAACCGAAGCAGGCAGTCCGCTATACCATTCCTTCAACTTGAGCTGAATCGGCTTGGCTAACGACAGCACAAGTTGCGTTCCTTGAGCACCGGCATGAGCAACAGCCTGCGTGGCTTGCAGGGTATAGAACGTCTCGAGGATTTCGGCAAGAATCTGGGAGAGTTGAACCATTTGGCAAAACAAGGTGCGCCCACGCTCCGTCTCAGTCCGCTCTTCCGCATTGCTCTCCTCCCACTCAATGTCGGGGAAATCATGGGGCGTCAAAACGGGCACCGCCCAGTTGGGCGAAAATATGTGGGAAGGACGCCCGTGAACGAGCGCGCCCCATTTATCCTGCATATACAGCGCCCAAGCGAGGCGTTTTCTCAGTCCCCTCTCCCAGGGCGGGATCTTCCACGACGAGCAGTCAAGGTGCAAACCAAGCTCCTGTCCGATAGCAACGAGCTGTGCCGTGGGCGCCCACTGATCACCCTCAGGACGCTGCGAGAGCAACAAGCCGGCCTGAATAGTCGATAACTTGGGTCGATACATGGCATCTGCGAGAGTAACGCGCACCAGTCTCTCCAGTTCTCGAACGTTGGGTCGCGGCAATGACGCTAGTTCCTCCGAATGGTCCCACCAGTTGATGGCCAAGATGTATATGGCAGCAAGAAGTGGCGGCGAGAATTCTCGATGCGATCGGTCGTATTTTTCATAGAAGACCGATTTCTGAATGATGGGAAACCCGGGATGCACTATACAGAAGTACAGGTCAATCAGTTTCCGGCCATGAGGGGCGACGATACTTTCGATTTCGTCGACATCCTCCGTGATGTGAGCGTGCCCGGGCGTGAGTGAATCCGGGAGCATGAGAAAGGTGTCATCATCGCTGACCTTCCTTAGAGTCCCTCGGGCGAGGAGACTCTCGTCATGTGGGTCAAAGGGGGAGAGGTTGATGAGAGAGGGCTCAAAGTCGGTGGTCGGCCCTATGTACTGACTATACCTGTCTGACTGAAGACCAAGGGTACGTTTTAGCAAGGTTGGACCGCCAAAGTTAGCCATCTCCTCGATTAGGGAACTGCCGGTAGCCACGGTGCTCGACAAGCTTGGTGGGTTCTGTCTTCGTTTCCTATTATCAGACCGTCCTGGGGAGCTGCTAACAACCAATCAGATATCAGACCACGCATAAGAACGACTTGCACAGAGTTGTTGAGATGGGGGGTTGGAGAGATAAGCTGGGGGAACTTTGAAGTGTGCGGAAGATGGTGGGAAGGAAGTAAGAGGACGAGACGAAGCAGACACGTGGGGTCCATGAATGTCATGTAAAATGAGGTAGGTGTTGCAGGTAAGTTATTATTCGCACCTTCTTTTACTGCCACTTTCCTCCGCATCACCGTTCAACTTGCGTTTTCGTGGCGGAGGGCTCTCGCCCAACGAACATTCTGCACCATTCGTCTGGCAAGCAACACAGCTCTCTTCGTCATCACTCATGACACACTCAAGCCTACAGCGTAGACAAGCTTCACAGGGAGTTGTTGTTTGTCCGCTTAGGGAGTCCGTATCTGGGGTGTTGATACCGCTTCGGAAACCAGAGAAGGAGTCGCCGTAGTTGATACTTCCTTGTCGACTGGGAGGAAAGCGTGGGGGAGGCTTGGGCGCAATGGCAATGGGAGCCGTCCTTGGGACGGCACTGGGGACGGACATGATGACGATTAAGGGGCTGGTGAGACGATTGATCGCGGCCGGATTTACCCTGGAGGTTGTCCGAGATGAAGTCCTCTCCCGAGTATTGGACGAGAAAGAGGTATGGGGATCTGTAGGTTGGACAAAGCTACTTTCCTATCCAGAATCTGCTCTGCAACCAGGCTAGGAGCAGTGCCGCAGGTGACCGGGGGACTAATGCCGTGACCAAGTAGGTATGTCTGAGGTTGTATGCGGGTAACGCTGCCACCCCCAACCAAGAAGAGGCAAGAGGAGGATATGGACAAGCCCAAGTATTTGATAGAGCTTACTGAATGGTCAGCCCCACGGGGAGGCGGGTGAGGTAGTGGCGTGCGCCCCCGTGTGGAACCAAGACAGATTGGTGTCTTTCGATACTCTGGGGACGAGGAGGCGACAGGGTCCACGGATAATGGAACGACCCCGGGATGTTTCTGGATTTCGGAATCTCTTCCAGGACGTTAGCTTTCCCCGGATTGAGCCCTGACAGGAGGACCCGCGAGCAACGCTGCAGGTGGATGGGTTGGCCTGGATGGATCGAAAGAAGGGTTACGTTTGGGGGTCCTTGTCGCCTTGTCTCCGAGGGTTGATAAGCAAGAGCAAGCCACAGATAAGGTTGACGCTCGTTGACGGCACAACTGCGGACAGATATGAGGCTCGGGAGGTTGAATCCCTACCACAAGGCCCTAGGATATCCGGAGGGTTGAAACGCACACCTGCTCGTCGACTGGCCTGGCCACAATCTGTCTGTTTGTTCACCTGCCTCTGTGGTAACACAACAGCGGCTCCGTGTATTTTGCACGGCTGGTAGCAGCAGGAGAAAGGGGATCTGAGAGGAAGGAGAAGCGGCCTTATCGCTCTCTTGACACCGGCACGTATCTCCTTACCAGATTCAGTGACTTTACGCGACAACGAAGGGTGGAAGGAATCTGGTGTCGAGGAGAAGGCCAGAGAGATAAGGCAAGTAGAGTGTGGCAGCAGTGTAGTATGTAAGGTATCTTTTGTGTGTGTGTATATGAGGTGTATGTTTGAAGGTAAAACGAGTACGGTCTTGTCTTGATCGGCCGAGGTGTCCTGCCCTGCCAGAAAGAGGAAGCGTGTAAGCGGTAGCGTATGCGGGTGATTTTGATAGGTCGTGCCCCGGATTGGGTAGGTAAGCAGGCGTGTAAGGGTACCTAGCCACCGCAGGGTTGTAGGATAGCTTTGGATAGGCAGGATTTCGTGGTAGGGTTGCTATTGGCAATCTGGCTAGGTAGGTATGATGGATGCGTATTGGTGAAATGGACTTGTCTATGTCGGCCGGGGTGCTGTTTAACTCGCAATGTTCCTATGTGATGATTGAGACCAGGATAAGATAAGCTAGGCTTATCTGCGTCATTTGCGAGGATGACAATGAAGGCACAGAACCGGGGTTTCGGCTCGAGCTTTCGAGGTGTGGGAGTGGTTAGTTTATCCTTTTTGTTTCTGTCTTTGTTCCGTGAAACATGGAGGTGGTGTTTGGAGGGGGGAGGGACGATAAGGGAGACTGATATGTATATAAGACAAGAAGGATAACGGCCAAGGACGCCAATATCGTCGATAATCAGAACCAGCAGGATTCCGAACAGGAGATCAACTGCACCCTGGACAGATTATAGACTGGCGCGTGCCTCCTTGCGAGAAAGAGCAATGCCGTGTCGAGCAGAAGATGCTGATGTATGTGGGTGAGAATTTGAGAAACACCAAGCTGCGGCAACTCATCAACCAACTTTAGTTATCTTGGCGCTAGATTGGCGTGTGTAAATGGCAGTCCCATGTTGTCCACCACCACAGGACCCTTGAGGCCGATAAGGAAATACGTGGCTGCAGGGGCGACATTTGCTTGCATTTGGTGACTGATTTCCCATGATGTGCCTGTTCCCTCCTAACGTAGTCTGGGACTAGTATATGGGGTTATCTCGGAGCGGACAACGATAATGACGGCGACAAGGTGCCCATCTGTCCTGCTTGAGAATGCGGTAGTGCCGTCAGGAGCATGGCGCGGTTGAGTTGCAGCAGCAGCAGAAGACGGCCAGACACATGCGTCTGATATCAGATTGTCCGGCCTTATCATCTTTACGATTGAAGAACAAAATTCCTAATGGGAAAAAGACGATAACGCATTCATGATCGACCTTGTAAACAGTACCTGCTGAGACCGGTGTGGACAATGATGGTGGGGTATATAGCAGTAACCGCTGAGCACTTGTTCCTCTATGGAAAGCTGTTAAGATCAACAGCACCGAGAGGCCAGGAGGAGAGAGGGTCCGAGGTATCAGATACACTGGATTGGAGTTGCGTGCATCCTCGTTGGACCATGGGCTGCCGGGATCGCAAGTCATGGCACCGGCTGCCGTGGATTGGAGCCCCATTACCAAATAAAAAAGGCGCGTTGCCGGAACCCGCCCTCTTTTGGGAATACATTTAACGTAATGGCCTGACACCTGCCGAGACATCGGTGACAGTTCAAAGGCAGTCTTTCAGATGTCTGATCGTTGTGTCTGTTGTCTTGACCTGCCTCCTGCCTGTCGCAGCGGTGCGAGGGCATAAGTAAGCTCAAGGATTTGGTGTTTCATGGCGGAGTGTCGGTCAAGGCCATTTCGGTGTTTTTACAAGACTTGTGAATGGTTCAACCTCGATGACTTTGCGTCGTGTGTTGCTGCCAAGCGATCAGAAGCGGAAAGCACGGCACCTATCACCGGACTGTGAAAGCGTCCACAAGCCGGCACATTGAAAAAGGTCGGTCGGTGTTGCTGACTTTGGCTGTGCGGCCTCGGAACGATCTCCCATAAACGCAGCTTGGCATTGAGTTCACAAGCCGGGAATTTATCGTGGATGATGGTCTAAACCGTCTCGAAACTGCGGCAGTAACTTTTTAATGAGTAGGCGATGGAACGTCAAAGGTCCGATAAAAGGAGGAAACGGCCCCGTTGTGGTTCAATAGATGACATCAGGCTCCGCCGGACTGGTTGCTCTCCGGCTGGGAGTGCGCAAGCTGAGGTTCCATGCTGGCGTCAAGGCGTGTCAGGGCGCTGTCTCCCGTCGTCTCAAAGCTCACGATAGCGGATAGGAATCGACCCCACAGTGGGGTTCAGCTGAAAAGCCTAAAAGTTCCCCGTTCCCTCGTTTTTCCATTTCAGCTTCGATCCCAGGCTCTCGGGGTTACGAGCATGTGAGTGTGAGATGTCGTGTGATTGCACTTTTTTCCCGGGGGAACGGCAGAGCACGAGACAAAAGCATGCTGGTGTTGTTTGAAAAGACGGCGAAAAGAAAGTGTCAAATCCAAACGGTCGGGATCATGGTTGAATCCCTCCCCCACATTTGTTTGGTACTGTACGTGTGTGGCTTGGAGTGCTTGTGTGCATATTCTTGTAGAAGTCGAGAGGTTGGCGGTGCAGTGTCCTGTCCTTGTCGAGAAGGGAAAGAGACTGTGTGTGAAGACAATCGCCAAGCTCGCGTGCCCAGAACCGGATCGACCATGAAACCCCCCCGTGTGTGGAGGGGTCCATTGACATGCGCCGCCGCTTGCATCGGTGGACGCGGGGGTATTATTTTTGAGAAAGGCGGGGGGGACGGGGAACTGGAAGGGCGTAACGAAGTGCCTAGACGGGGTTGGGTTAATATGACAGATACATGGCGATTACACTATCGACGGCAACGGGTGACGGACGGGAGGAAAGAAGGCTTGCCACGGTACCGTTCGTTCGGTGTCTTGGAACTCAGTCTTAGACTTGGTTTATTTGAAGCCTAGGTTTGCTAGGTCAACGGGTCAAAATGTGGTGGTGGGTAACATGTCGATGTCCAGGTTTTGCATAATGAAAAATGCACTGAAGGTATCGCAAAGAGTACAGAAGAGAGGCATGTATGTAAGATGGTTGTATGATTTGTGACATGCAAATTGTCGGATGGTGTGTGTGTTGATTGGTGGTGATTTTGCGGGCAGCTTGCGAAAGGAGGTTGTCGATGGAATGGGGAAAAAATGGAATATTGAGGTTGAGGTAACACAAAGCAGGAAAGGCGGTGGGAAGAAAACTCTGAACACTCAGTTGCAGGGCATGATGCTGTTTCTGTTTCTCACTCGGCAGTCGCGACTCGTTGGTTTTTTTTGGTTTTTTTTGAGCCTCGCCGGTCGACTTTGGAACCGCTCCTTCCGCCATATGTTGATGCACACTTGCCAATTCAAAGACGGATGATGTTCGGGTGGGGGACGACTTCAACTTGCCTGCACTTGCCATTCGTGTGTAAAAGACCGCCTCGACCGTTGGGTCTTTCCATTATTGTTTGGAAGAGAGGCGGGGTACTTGGTGTCTCATGATGATGTGGGAAGCCAATTGCAGACTAACTTGGCCGTTGATTGCATAGCCTAACCCGGAATGTTGTGGTTTCTGCCACTCTACTAATAAACATTCTTCTTTATGGCAATAACCATGCCAAAACCCCCCAAAAACCAAGACACCATAACCAGACGTCTACATAGTGACTATGAGATACGCCTGAACCGCGCCCCGGGATAGTAAACCATGCAAACCTCTCGATACGTCATCATCTCTTCCTCGCCCTCACTCTGGCCCTCGCCCTCGCCCTCGCTCCCCTTTGAACATCCTCCCTTTCTCATGGCGGGTATCTTCATCTCAAACCAATCTTCTGTCTCAAACCCCAGCCTCTCATACATCGACACAGCCTCCATCGTGCTTTCCAAATACACCGGCAGCTGTCCGAATTCGTCATGCAAATACTCCACCATGTCAAGAAACTGCTCCATCATATCCGTCGCAAGGCCCTGGCCTTGATGCTCGGGGTCGATACATAGGAACGTCAGATCTGCCATGTGCCAAATGTAGACCCAAGTGTCAGTAAATATCACACAGTATACTACTACATCGGTGAAATATGTATGGCGACCGAGCATCGGATATGATATGGAAAGAACTTACGCCAACATCTCTTCTGGTTGTAGCCGCTCTTTTCCTTAGCCTCTTTCGCCAACCGAGCGTATTCCTCGAGATACTTCCTCCTGCATCCCGGGATACTCAAGACTTCTCCCTCTTCTTCCAACTTCTTCTTCTTGTTGTCCTTTGGAGGGGGATCACCAAAACAGTCAAGAGGTGAAGGATGATCCCACATCAGAAACCCCACTATATCACCGCGACCACCTTTCTCCCTCGTGATTATCCTAACGCCATCCTCGGCGGGAGCAGACATGATCTTGGGGTAAGCTTCTTTCGCTAGCAAGTTTTGGAGCGCTGCCTGGCTCTCGGGAGTAGGAAACTGAGCGTGAAGAAGGGGGTTGGATTGCATGGCGAGGAGATGGATTTCGGCCACGCGGGCTGCTTTCAAAGCAATCGCAGGGTCGTACATGGTGGAGTCGCCGGTGGCCATCGTGATGGCGGTGACTTGGTTTGGTGGATTGTTGTTGTCGGTGGTTGGAAATGTGGCAAGGAAAGGGCTTGGATCCCGTCTTGAGTTGTGTAGCGGAAGAAGGAAAGCTCACTTGTTGCGGTTGTGCTTGTTGGTGGTGTTTCGATGAGATGCTGATGCTTTGCCGGAAAAGTTGTTGAAGGAGAAAAGAGAACAAGAAGAAAACAAACCAGAGCTGAACACGCAAAGTAAGAAAAGAGAAGGAGTCACGAGATCATGTGACGCAGTTCCAGTTACCATGACAAACACTTCCGTCCATTTATCGTAACTGCTGGTACTGCTGTTGCTGTTCGTGACTTCCTCCCCCTATCCCAATCCCAAACTCACCACCACCACCACCACCACCACCACCACTCCCTCCTGCTCCTGCTCCTGCTCCTGCCTGCAGCCTGGCCTCCATCTCATCCGCCTCTCTCAACAGCCTACACGGCGTCTCCATCCACTCCTCCCACTCCGGCCCCAAACAACTCATATACCTCACCAAACTCTCCAGCAAGAACTTGCCCGAATCACCCGATATCCACACCTTCCTACACAGATGCAGACAAACAAAGTAGTACGCCAAAACCGCCAACACCTCCGGCTTTCCTTCCTCCAACATGTCCATGACGGGCTTCCTCAACATGGTGCCCCACGCCAACAACATCTGCACCTGTCTAGCCGGACTGGGCATGGCATCAAAGATGACCTGCAGGTGCTGCACCGCCTGTCTCAGCCCGTCCATCCTCTCCTGCTTCTTATCCTTATCCTCATCCTCATCATCACCATCATCACCAGCATCATCATCTGCAGGAGAAGAAGAAAACCTCTCCCCCAGCCTCCGCAAAATATCATCGCACTCGGGCCCCGTCCCGCGCATATCATACATGCGTATCCCGACCTCGATAATGGGCTTCAGCGCGCTCTGCTTCATCTCGTCCATGTGTCCCTCCAGCACCCCGTATATCCCGCGGTGCAGGTGCAGGTAGCCCACGAACCGCGTAAGCGTGGCAGGGAACTCGGCGTCTCGGTAGGACAGCGTGTCGCAGAGGGCGTGGAAGCCGAGGACAGAAGAGAACAGAAACAGAGGGACGCGGTTCTCGATGGGGCACGTGTCGAAATGGGACATGTCGATGCTGTTGAATAACGTCAGGGCGTGCGTCTGCAGCTGGATGGCGTGGTGGTGGTAAAAGGCTTCGCGGTGCGGGCGCAAGACCGAAAGGTGCCGGGCCGAGAGGGCAAGGATTTGGTACATCAGGTATGGCTCGCGGAGGGCGTGGTGCATGGTTAGCGAGCGGACGGTGTCGCCGAGCGGAGGAAAGGTGATGAAGATGTCGGTGGTGTAGTGGTAGAGGAGCTCCATGTGCACCATGTTGACATTGGGCGATTCCGAGTCTTGATTGGGGATGGGGAAGGGTGCAACGTCCGGCATGAAGGGTCCGGGTCCGGGTCCAGGTCCGAGTTCGGGGCCGGGAGCCGGGACGGGAGTGGTGGCGGTGGAGCCACCGTAGCTGGAGAAGGATGCTACTGAAGCCGAGGCGGATCCGGCGGCGGAGGAGGGTGGGGTTGCGGCTACAGAGAGGGAGTCGGCTGGGGACCGGGATAGGTCATCGCTGCCGGTGCTGGTGCCGGGTAGAATGGGGTAGGAACATTCCCTCTCAACGGTCTGGCAGTTGATGCATCGCGGCCGTGTTTCGTCGCACTGTCCAAGAAATGTCAATGGCGTGACTTGTCTTGAGTTTGTAAGCGGACTACTTACCTTGATGTGCCGTCTCTTGCATTCGAGGCACCCCTTTCGGGATTTTCGATGACTTCTCCGCATCATGAATGAGGTGAGAGATGGGTAGTGTAAGTAAGGTGTACTAAAATGGTAGGCTGCTGGGCGGTAAGGGGTTCCGCGTATAAGTCCCCTGTACAAAATATTGCCGAGACGTCAAGTTCCCTGTCAGTGAGATGGGATGTCATGCAGTCTTGACAGATCAGATCCGGGTGGCAAACCGAGGAATGACATGCACAAAACCGTTGGACTTTATCGTTGTCTCAAGTCGGGAGGACTCCAATGCTCAATATCTAGCATTTGTTAGACGAGTTTCAGATGGTCTGGGGGACGCGTAGTGTTGATTACTTTGATTGCGCGTCAAGATGGGCGCAGCTTGTTGGGAGCGCCCTGGGACCGTGAGCAGCCACACCGTGACTTGATAATTGTAGGTTTAATAGCGAGGTGAGCCTCCACCGCTAAAAACCAAGGACATTTGAATTCTCCGCCAAGCCCTGCCCACGGTGCTCGGAATGGTACCGAACCCGACGCCGGCCCGTTCCGAGCCAAAAGCTCAGCCCCGATTTCGAGTAAGAATACGAGATCTTCATCTCCGGGGTTTCTATAAATTGTATGAAACACCCACGCGTCCCCGGTATACTACTGAGTATCAGGGGGTGGCATATCCCACGGTTGAGCAGCTGAGGGTAAGGCATATTTGTTGTTCTTGCTCTTCCTAGGGCTTCGTCTCCTGCCGGGCTCGGGAGCGGCGGCGGTGATAGGTCCGGGACCGACGAAACGTAGCACCCAATCCCACACTCTCCGGGTCTTGTCCAGCTGAGCATGCGTGGTTCTTGTCACGGATAAGTCCGAGGGGGCATAATGACCGCCGACGTCGGTTGCGTCGAGCCTTGCTCGGAAAAGCAGGTGAACTTTGGTCAATCCCTTGCGCAGACTGGAGCCGTAGACCTTTTTGGTGAAGACGTTCAAAGCCACGTTTTGAAGCAGGACCACATCCCGATTCCGCAGGCCTTCAAGCATGCTTCCCTTCACTGTCTCGCAGCCAGGGGGTAGCCAAAAGGTAACGGCAAAGCCGGCTTTGGTCTCATCGCCAACGAGCACCTCGACCAGAATGCGGTCTGAGCCCCAGCGAGTGCTAACCGATCGGGGCTGAGAGATGGAAATGATGCCGACGATCAAATTGCAGGTGATGGTCTGGGGTTGTGCCTTGATGAGGTAAGCGGCCGATGGGATATCCTTGAGGTCACTGAGGCGGTCACCACCACGGAATGTCAATGGCTCTTTGACGGCTTCGTCTCCATCCACACGGAACGCATGAGTCGTGGTCTCCAAGAACGAAGCCGTATCCAGGTCCTCCTCGCTCATTACCGACGTGATGGAGTGTTGTGGCTCTGATTCCCTAAGCAAGTTAGCGTCCAGGTATGAGGAGCGGACATGTTGGTGCAGTGCAAGGGAGTGTTCGTAGAACTGGGACTCCAGGTCGCCATGAACAACAGATGATTCGTCAAATGATGGCGAGATGGATGCGATAGTGAGAAAGTCATCGGGCTGATGGATTGGTTCCGGGCCGTGAGCTAGGTTGAAGCCGAAACTGGAGTCCTGTTGTTGTTGTGTGTAGCCGGTATGGATACGTTCTCTTTCAAGGGTAAGGGATCTCCATGCGGCGGGGGTCGGAGCGGAGGCCGGGATGATGCTCTGGTCCGGGTCCGGGCGATCCACTACTGCTGTTTGGATGCCCATGAAGCTGGCAATAGGCTCATCGAATTCGACCAGTAGATCCGGGGTGTTCCAGTCAAGCGCCCGGCTCTTTGGAGCTCCGGTGAATATCAGCACTTTGGAAGCCATTCATGCTTGTGACAATTTGAGGTCGTGTGATGTTATTGTATGAAAGTGTTTGTTAGTTGTAAAAGGGAAAGGAAATGCGGGGCCCAAGTTGGTTGGCCATGTGAAAGTGACGGGAATGCAAGGCACACGCTGCAGTGCCGGCCGGACACTACCAAATCCCCGAAACGGCACGGACTTGTCCAACCCTCCAGGTCCGGAAGAGTGGCCCGACCGACCCCGATCTCGCGGTTGGAAACAGACTATTATAACAACACCAAACAACACATCTTTTACCACTCATGATGGTCTTCACTTTCCATTGGCTAGATGATTCCTACTCTTTGTGAAACACACATACAAATGTACAATCACGTGTTGGAATGTCTGAAGTAAATAAAACAAACAAACCAATCGAACAGGGGCCGAAGCGTCTCCACAAATTGATCGCGTCGAACAGGACCCCTTTCAGACCGACATCGTGACGGCATCCCATCTTGACATGGCAACACCTTTCTGTCCACCATTGTAACCCGTACCTCTGTTTCCCATAACCGGCCTGTATCGAATTGCTCTAGTTCCTTTTCGGTTACATGACGATATTCGACCAGCAAAACATGGCCCCGGCACCATGGGATTCGGTCCCTCCTGAGGACACCCTCTTCGCTTTGGTCACTGGCGCCAACAGGCAAGTCTTCAACATCCACCTATCTATTCATGCCTGATGGAGGTACCATACTAACAGCTAATGCGACTTCAGCGGTATTGGTTTCGCCATCTGCCAGCGCCTAATCGATGAATACCTCACGACGCGCTCCCTGACCTCCCACCTCGTCGTCATCCCCACCACCCGCAGCGTCAAGAAGTCGCAAGAGACCATCCATGCTCTCCGCCAACATGCCCGCGAATTCGCAACCACCTCCGACATCCTCCGCTCCCGCGCCGGCGGTCCCAGCTACGATCCCCGATCCGTCACCAAGCGCATCCACATCCTCAGCGTCCAGCTCGACCTGTGCAACCTCGCCGATGTCCACCGCGCCGCCGAACAACTCGTCAACGGCACCGTGAGCAGCCCCGTCAATGGCAACGATGCCTTATACTTCACCTCCCTCACCGACGTGAGGATACCCCGTCTCGACTCAGTCATCTTCAACGCCGGCATGGGCGGCTGGACCGGTCTCGACTGGCCCAAGGTCTTCCACAACGTCTTGACCAAGGGTCTCGTCCAAGCCACTACCTGGCCGACCTTCAAGGCCGCCACGGCCGGCCACGTCGTCAACCCCCTGCCCGACGTCAAGAATGAAAAGGTCCCCGAGATGGGCCAAGTCTTTTGCGCCAACGTCTTCGGCCACTACCTCTTCGCGCACAAGCTCGTGCCCCTGCTCAGCCGATCTGACGATACTAGTCTCCCTCCGGGCCGCATAATCTGGGAATCCTCCATCGAGCCCGGGTGGAAGAACCTCGACCTCTCCGACTTCCAAGCCATCAAGACCAACGCCGCCTACGAGAGCACCAAGCGCCTGACCGACGTGCTTTCCCTGACCGCCACCTTACCCTCCGCCAGACCGTTTGTCAACTCGTACCTCCAGCCGGCTACCAAGTCAACGTCCCAGACTACCCCGCCCAGTATTTACCTTGTCCACCCGGGCATCGTGCAAACGACGCTTTTCCCCTTAAACGCCTTCATGTTCTTCTGGTACCGCGTGGTTCTGTACATTGCGCGCTGGCTCGGCTCCCCTTGGCATCCCATAACTGGATATAACGGCGCCGTGGCGCCTGTGTGGCTTGCTTTGCAGGAGCAGGAGGCTTTGGATGCGGTGAAGGCTGAGCATGTGAAGTGGGGGTCAAGCACGGATTGGTGGGGGGAGTCCAGAGTGAAGAAGACGGAGGTTGAGGGTTGGGGGTGGGATGGAACGGTTGAGACGAGAACTGAGTTGAAGAATGAGAAGGGGGAGAGAGGTGCGGGAAGGAAGATTGTGGGGAGGAAGAGCGGGGCGACGGATTTGACGGAGGAGAAGAGGGTTGAGTTTGAGCAGTTGGGGGTGGACTGTTGGAAGGAGATGGAGAGGTTGAGGGGGGAGTGGGAGGGGAGGTTGGACAGTGTTCTTGGGAGGAAGTGATTGTGATGAATGATGGCAGTTGCATGAGATGAGGTTGGTTGGTTAAAAGTAAACATTACCCCTGTCCTGCTGTAAGAGGAGCAGAGGAGTGAGAGACCTATATATACAAGATAATAATCCTAATAAGTGTACCCAAAACCCGTCCGTCACATGGGTATAAGCGAGAATGCCGTACATCGCATCCTCATACATATAAACAAACAAACAAACCGTAACAAATATACACCATCCATCATCCATCATAACACCATTTACATCCCATCCTCAAACCCACCATAAAGAAAGTCAAGCGCTCCCTTCAACCTTCAGCCCCAATCGCACTCCCCTCCCTTCGAGTTCGAATCCCATCATCCGACCTAACCCTCCTCAAACTAACCCTATCCCCCCGCCCAAACATCCCCAAACACAACGGCACCGGCACAGCCACCATAGCAACAACAGCATGAAACACCAGCGCCCAATACATATTCCCATCCGGCCTCCCTCCCCTTCCTTCCTTCTCCTTCAACGCTCCCGAAACAATAATAAACACTCCTCCCAACACCTGTCCCCCGCTCCACGCCACTGTGCTCGTCACCTCCGGACTAATCGGGTGCGTCACTTCCACCAGAAACTCCACGACAACGGGGACCAGACTGAAACTTGCAGCGCCGAGGATGGCTAATATCACGTAGGGCCCAGCCAAGCCCGCGGAATCGTGCGTAGATGGCATCCAGAGAAATATCAAGTAGCAGATCCCGATCAAGGGAACAGCGATGCGGATTGTGGTTAAAAAGGCCTTTGTGCGATCGATGATCGGGGAGGTTATAGCTGAGACGACAAGGCCGACCACGATCAACACCGCGCCCGCGATGCCGGCTTCTTCGTCGCTGTAGCCGTATGGTTCCATTACTTGGTTTAGTAGCGAAGAAATGGAGTTGAAGGTCCCCACGTAGACGGCGAAGGGAATGAAGAGGAGCCAAAACTCGGGGTGGCCTAGCAGGATAGCCGCGCTGGTGCGCAAAGGTAACTTGGGGGTGGTGGAAGACGGGGCTGCGGGCGTTGGTGGTTTCGCAGGGATGAAAAATGCTGGGACGGCGCAGATGGAGCTGATGATTGATACGTATAAAACCATGCGCGAAACGTCTGAAGAACTGTTAACCCAAAACGGAACAACCAGCTGTCCCAGCGCTGCTCCAAAGGGATTGGCAAGGGACGTCAAAGCGGTAGCCGCTACGCGGCCGCGGTTGGTGAACCAGAGATCCGAGTAGCGGGCGGGCGCGGCGAGGACGAATGGTTGGGCGAGGCCGACGAGGATCTGCCCGAACATGACCACGCCGAATTGTCCGCCTGTGGGCGAGGAGGAGTGCGAGCCGCCGTAGCGGACCCAGTTGCCTACTAGTAGCAAAGCGGCGGCGACGGTGATGGAGAGTTTTGGGCCGAGGTGTAGGACGTAGATTACTAGGGGCGTGATGAAGGTGAAGGCGAAGAGGAAGGCGGTGCTGAGCCAGTTTATGGTCGTTTCGGTGGTGCGGAAGTAGGTGGCTGCGTGCCCGGCGACGGGGGAGAAGGTGAGCCACTGTGATGGAAGGGGTTGTTAGTTTGGTTACTTGAATTTCTTGGGGATGGGAAGATGGTTGGAGGGAGGAGTGATGTATCACTTGTGAGTGTCCTCCTCTGTGCACCCTCGGGAGTCCATGTTTTGTTTCCATGTAGAGTTATCCTGAAGGTAAACACCGGCGTAACTTGGGTAAACCATAGTGATGCAGAAACTGAAATGTGAACACAGCAATACCATGATATCAAATCCACCTTCGTGTAAGTGGCATTCAAGAACTGAGGCGTGAAGTGGGAGTGCAAATAAACTTTGACGGCAGCCCATTAACATCGTGACTCGCATTAGGAGGGGCCGCCGTCCCGTCGGTTGTGTAAGACGGATTGCCCCGTTCGATCTCAACTGAGTTGCTTGGTTGCTTACTAGGCACCGCACAGCTTGTTGTTATTTTTAACGTCTACTTCCGCCTCCCGTAGGGCATGAGATGTGTAGGCACCGCACAGCTGTTTGTAAGACGGGATCGATATGCAACCAACCACGCACTTGCGGGTCGTGGCATCACCCCAGATCCCAACTCGAACAACGATAGGTGTTGTTTCATCCATCCCGGAGGCTCATCCCAGACTCAGGCTTAAGGCCGAAAGATAGACGGCACGGAAGGGTGAGGTAGGGAGTGATGGAAAAGGAAAAAAAAAAGAAAAAGACAACTTACATCCCAGCTAACAATGATATTCAACAAAGTCAACTGTACCAGCCCAAACCACCTCCTCTTATAGACCTTGTAAACGACCGGTCTTCCTTCACTGTCTCTTTCCACTCTTTGCTCATCATTATCGTCCTGGCCATCTCCCGCTCCATCAATTCCAAGTCCGAGTCCAACACCACCACCGCCGCCGGCCGTCGCCCCGGTACTACTAACCGCTCCCGCTTCCGCCCCGGTACCGAGCGTGGTGGAGATTACCGATCCCAATCTCGATCCCGATCCGGAGTCGGTGGATGCCGAGCGGGATCCACTGCTGATGCCAATGCCGTCTTTCTTTTCGGAATCCGATAGTACTGCCCCACCTCGATTTTTACCTAACCGCCGTTTCTTTTCATCTCCAGTCATCGTCGCTGTTGTTGTTGTCGTTGTCGTTGCCGTTGTTGCCGTCGTATTACTCGGACTCCTCTGCTCCTTCATTTCGATCCCCACTATTTCGATATCAATATCGCTGCGCTTTTCTTTGTTGCCATTTTCATGTCCGTTTCCATTTCCGTTTCTGTTTCCATTTCCACTACTCCCCGATCTACTACCGCCATTACTACCGCCATTGTTGCTATTAAGAGTGGACGTCATTCCAGGAGGTTTATGGTGCGGATACGATAACCTGGCTTGATAATCGTCGTGGCTGTCGCGGTGCGAAGTGGTAGTGTGGTGAGAATGTCGACTGCTGTGGATGGTTGCTTGGTCGTGGTCATGGTCGTGATCTTGATCATGCTCTTGCTCATGGTCGATTGTGTGTAAGGTGTCCATGTCTCTCAATTCCTGCCAGCGTCCTTGGCCTTTATCCTGGAGTTGGTGGTGGAGATGTCGTCCTTTGGTGGTGCTACCTGCAACTGCTCCTCTGCTGGGTGATCGGAGGCTGCTCATTTTCTGTTTTCGAGGCGCGATTACGCAGGCGGCTCTTCTCTGCTCTGCTCTTGTTTTATGGTTATGGGTGTTTGTTAGTCCCTAGGTTTGGTTTGGTTTGGCCAGGCTTGCTTTTTCGAGGGGGTGAAATGGAGGGGAGGTTCTTTGTTTGTGGCGCCCTCTGACTGGATTCAAGGTGTCCAAGAGTTTGTGTGTTTGATTTGAGCTTTGTTCGCATTCGGTTTCCCAGGTCGCGCTTCGGTCACGGTGTTCCGGCCGCCAAACAAGTGCGAGCAACAGATGGAAAGGTTGTCTGCCGTCTGTATGTTGTAGACGCGAGCGAGCGCAGGAGCTGAGATCAAAAGATGGAGAAGATGGAAGAGTGACGCGCGTGTTCACATGTCGTCGCAACTCATCAAGTCTTCATTTGAGATGATGAAAATGAACAAATGAATGAATGAAAGATGCGACAGAAGAGTTACGGTCGCATTCCTACCTTGCTACCACACCGCACCTTTACTTTGCACGGGACCAAATGAATGCCTGCAAAGAAAGAGGGAAGGACTCGCGGACGCGGACATCCTTCGGACACGGAAATTGATCGCTGCACCCGCTCGCTCGCATCGATGCAACATTGGATTGGGGATGGATGGCACGCTACCTATCACGCTTCCATTCCAAAAGTCTCGGCAACCTATCCAAGAAAGGGTCGAAAGCGCTTTTCTAGCAACCTTCCCAAAGGTCTTGGCTAACCTAGCGGCGCGGCAAAACAACTTGGAAAAGCGTGTGATCAACTCGTCTCTAACTTTTATTGTGTGTGTGTCCGTCGGGGTTGCTCAATTGTAAATGGTTGAAATGGGAGGAGAATGAATCGTGATAGGTTCATCGCTTTTTGAAAGTTGAAACCCGAACCCGAACCCGTTTTCCTTTTGGTGTTCGTCTCGTCTCGTCTTCCCCAGACCCCAGATTTTCTGTTACTTACTGTGTTCAATGTGTTACATAAATTTGTGGTGGCCGTGTGTTCCATGAACCAGGAAGGCGGAAGCGAGCGAGAGACATTTCATTCTCTTTGTCAGTGCAGTGTCTTGAACTGTTCCAAACGCCTCTCACTTCGTTCCAAGATCCATTCTAGAAGGGTCGAGTCGGATATGTCACATCACTGTCCGTACATTCCGCCCTTCTATCTGCGACTCCAACTCGCCTACCCACGATCTAAAAGAGCCATCATGATCTTTGGTTACATATACACAGTAACCCCTCACTCACCCATCCCCCCGCTCGCTCGCTCGCTCGCTCCCTTGCTGCCACATGCTACCTATGTACCTATCTCATCCTATGCGCGATGCACGATGCGAAGTTATCACAAGGTCGCATTTACGACGAACACTAACAACATGTCGAGTGCGTCGAGTGTGTGAGCGCTCGACCTCGACAATGAGGGAAGGGTTGAGTTATCTTAAGCAGGTTTTGGGGGAAAACACCAACAGATCATTAGCAACCCATTCGAGTCAATTGCATGGTCCTATTGAGAAGCGACGGTGTCGAATTACAGTCTAGCATAGGAGAGACCGCATCAGTCATTGTTACTAAATTAATAGCAAAAAGTCTACTAGAATTTACATTGGGGGAATTGAAAGAATTAGAATAAAAAAAAACTGTCATGGGATTCAGAAAGCCAAGTATTTTCCTGCTTTTTCTTTCTTCCACTTATGTTTGTTCGTTCGCCTTTTCGCTTATTGTTGACGTGGGGGCTGGCTGTTGTCGGGCGTTGGCAATAGGTAGGTAGGTACGTAAGTAGGTAGGTGCACAAGCAAGCACATCGCCATTTCCGAGCAAATGGGCGCACCGTGAAAGATGTCTCTTTCCATGAGCTAAATGCAACGTGCGAGAAACAACAACAAAACCGACGGGGAAAGAGGAGCACAGTATAAGCAAAAAAGGAGGTCTATTGGAAGGGTTCACCTGTGTCTGCTTTTGAGAGTTAGGTGACGTGACTTCGAAAAGGATTATAATACAGAAGAAACACACGCACAACAGGGCTAGGGAAGAAGAACTGAATCAGACATGACGACATGCCGTAACCATGAGAGAATGATACGACTGTGCAATGTAGTCAGCCCCTGCTTTCCCCAGCCCTATATACCCATACGTTCGTTCGGAGAGTTGGGGGAGTTGGAGGAGAAAGGTAAAAAGTGCAAACACATTCATCATAAAACATGCATGTGTAAACACTTTTGGACGCCCCTTCCCCTTGTCCTCCCCTATTTTCACACCTGGCACTTATTTCGTTTTCCCGTTTTTTTTTCTCTCTGTGTTCGTGTTCCATGACGGCTGCTGATGATGAGTTTTTGGACTTTGGCGATTGGATATCCTCATTTTTGCTTTCTACTCCCGGTTCGTCATCGTAACGATTGAAACGTAACGTTGGTTGGTTTTCCTTCGTATCTTGTCTATCGTAAAAACGCCCCATTTGTCTCCATGCTAAAAAGAAATAGCTCCTCCTGGTCTATAACCTTTCGTTGTTGATGATCGAGGGGGGTCGCTCTCTCGTTGTCGGACTGTCGGGCGTTGGTGGGTCAAGAAAGTCGCAGACGCATCAGGAATGCGAAACGACCGTCGAGGTAGATCGATCGTTTATTTGAGGACGTTCCAGAGCTTGGGAGCGGCGCACTGGGTGGCGCAGTGGGCGAGGTGGAAGACTGTTTGTTGTCGCCCAAGGTTCCTAGTAAGTAAAGCCTGTCTCGTGTGCCTGTGGGCAAGGAAAGGGGGACTATATGAACGTACACTCCTCAACGCAGTCCTCGCCTTCGGCACCAGTACCGCCGGTGACGCGGGCAACGCACTCATCGTAGTGGTGCTTGGCGGGAGCGCACTCCTTGGAGTTGCGGCACTCTGTAAGCGATACCCCCGTCAGCACATCATGTTCCGTCTCGAGTTGGGCTCTGTAACAAGTAGGTTGTCGGAGAACATCGTGTAGACATTGAAGGATGGGCGAGGTTGACCCAAGTTCGGCGGTCGCGTATCGTTGGCAGTTCTGTTGGTTGAGAAGCAGACCAATGTCGGAGGCTCGGCGCGGAAACGCAGGGCTCCTATAGGCGCAAGGTGCGTCGAGGTGATGGTCGCGGAAGGCCGGATGGGTTGTGGTCGTCGAGTGATGTTGTAATATGTGTTGGTCCGGAAAATGGGGAGAGAAAAGAGACAGGCTACCCACCCTCCTCGAGAGTCTCCTTGGGATCGACGATCTCATCCTCGTCCTCCTCCTCTTCCTCCTCAGCCTCCTCCTCGGCCTCGTCGGCGGCGGCAGCGGGCTCCTCAGCCTCGGTCTCGGCGGTGGTCTCCTCGGTGCTCTCGGCGGCAGGGGCAGACTATATCATGAATTGGCCGTCAGCAAGCTTGCTCTCCCACTTCCCCGTATGTTGCCCTTCCTCCATGGCTTATGACGCAAACAAAGCCCTCAACCACGGTACATCCCCCACCATGGTTCTCTGTTCCTGGACGAAGTTGGGCAGAGATTCAAGCGTCGTGTTGACTGGTTCCCCCCTATCCTCATTCTCATCCTCGCAGACTCTATGCCCGTCCATGTTTCGGGTACTCAGGGCGTATAAGATTTGGTGGGTGGTGGTGGTGGTGGTGATGGCATACCTCAGCGGGGATATCCGCAGGGGCCTCGGCCTCGACGGTGGCCCACGGCGTGGCCGCGTCGATAATCTCGGTGACAGCGTCCCAGAAGCCCATTTTGAAAGTTTCGCGGGGTGAAGGCGAGAGAGTAGCGGTGGTCTTGTCGGTAGGTTGGTTGATATGGCGCGACGTTGAGCAAGCTTTCTCGATCAAAAATCGGGTAAACCGAGCTTCTTGCTTGGCTCCAGTGTTCCCGGGTGGCCCCAGCTCCTGGCCCGAGCGCTGCCTCTCGTCGTTCCTCTTGCAATTGGCGCCTCTTGATTGGTCCGTGCCTATCGATACTCACTGAAGCTGCCCCCGGGTAATCCCGCAGTCATGGAAGGCGTCACGTGCAAGCACTTTCACGTTCCTCGAATCTTGGAAGCTTGTTTGGGTCAGTGCGAGCTCGAGACTCAACTGTGGTTTCTGTCTGAACTCAGCTGTGAGAAACTTCCATATCTCTGTCACAGCCCCCACGCCGCCGCCATTGATTACTGTCGACTGGCCGGCTTACGGCTACTAGATAGGCAATTGCTAAGAAGGACTTGCCTGCTTTCTGTTCGGTGGCTGACCAAAACAGATCACAACCAACAAGTGATGTCAATATCGCTGGCGTTGCTGTCGTCGTTACTAGCCCTGTCTGATATCACTACTACGTGACAGGCAGCCGCTTTCTGTTTCTGTCCGATTATGCATACCACAGATACTCCCAAGAGCGAGACATCGACAAGGGTATTTCAAGGTTCAAGAGCCAATAGATATTTGACAAACTAAATATGGAGTATAAGCTACAATGAGAAACGGTTTGCCTCCATTTGCTAATCGCATCCATCCACTTAGGGACGGCATCCAGTCCGACCAATCACGTTGTGTTTCTGACGTTGTAATTCGGTTTAATCAAAGTCCTTTTTCGACATCACCTGTATAATCCCAATGACTGACACTAGGCTGACTCAACAGACTGCTATAACCAATAGCCATCCAAGGTGAATCTTTCCCTCGTTTATCGGCGGCAGTAGAAAAGAAATGTCTGCTCGGATGTTCGAGTGTTTGCCTAATCCCGGGCAGCGTTTTTGGTGTACCTAAGCCTTTCCAGTTTCAACGCAATTTTGAGGGAACATCGGGCAGTTATGCCGTGTAGTCAGGAGGCGGCTCATCTGGGCCAGGCTGGGGCACTTGGTTCCGATCGCTCGTCACGTTGCCGGACGGTCCAGACGCAGGTGTATTTGAGGAGGGCCCAGAAGCTTGAGCATCATCGTAAGGTGGCGGAGGCTCAAGGTTTTGCCCGAGAGTAAGTCCAAGGCTTTGGGCATGGAGTAGTCGGTCCCTCAGCCACTCGTATTTCGCCTGGAAGTCGCTGTGTCCGCCATCCTTGAAGGTCAACTTGCATTCGATCCTGGGGATCTCCGGCGGTACGCCACCGTTCGGAATGGGCCTGACTATGCTCGTCCAGCTCCAAGGCCCAATCCAGGACGAGTTGATGCGGACGTCGCTGAAGTTCAGGGGAGGCGCAAAGAAAGATCGAAAAGCCTCGGACGACCTGGCTGGGAGGTAAATGATCTACAGGCTAGTCAGACCGCAACATCCAGATTTCATTCAGAAAATCAGATCCGCACTCACCCTCTCGTTGGTGATGTATGCAATGCCATTGTCGCTCTTTACAGAGAATGGCTCTGCTACTTGCAGTTCCTTTGGGACCGAGAGCTCAAGGCCAACTCGCGGCTTGGAGGTGAGAAGAATCTTTTCACCGGGGAGTTTCAGGATCTGCCCATCACGGGTCAACATGACCCAACTTTCCTTCTCGTCAGTAATTGAATGTTGAGCAAGCGTCCATCTGTGCGCCTCGACCAAGAATTGGTCGGCCATGGTGATTTGGACGGGACGGGGAGGTGGGGCCGGGTTAGGTGGTATCTGTGACAGGATCCCGATATTGGAATATATTGACAGGAAGAAAAAAGAGGAGACAACGGTACTCGGAACGGGAGCCCTGGGGAAGACGATGTAGAGTTGCCTGGCCAAAGGGTCATGAGAGGAGGATAAAGAACAGCAGATGTAGACTTACTTTATTGACATGATGAGAGACTTGGTTGGTCAGCTGCAGAATGGCCCGCTAGGTACCGTCTTGTCCTGTCCCGCGCGCCCGGAAAGCTCCTAGAGCTTCTACGGAGCTTCTCGATTCGTGGCTTGGGGTGCCAGTATTAGCACGCAAGGGTGTAGTGGGTAGTAGCCGTCCAGGGTCAAAGAGCGAGGCCAGGAAGTAACCTGTTCACCCACAGCGGCGCGGCCTGCAGCAAGATGAGGTGGGAGATCTGGCAAGCCTCAGTTCAGGGGCCAAGGAACCTGTTGTACCTGGTGTGGGCCGACTTTTGCTAATTCGGTCGTCGAAACTGGCAGCCTGCAAGCCTGTACAGTGTCAGTCTATTAGCCTCTACTCTATCACTTTCAGAAATGTTTCAACTTTTAGAAGGGCTACCAGCCGAGGCAGGTGAGCGTCCGGGACCCGGCTGGTTTGCCCTCCAGCTTGAATACTTCAGCTCGGAGAACACTAAGAATGGGAGTGGGTATGCGGTAGTGTAGACAGTAGTGCGTAACAGCCCCGGTAGACAGGCAGCCTCTAGGTCAGCCGAAGAGCCAGGTCGAGGAACTAATTGGAGACGGGGGATGAGTGTCTTGGGCAAGGTGAGGCAGATGAGAAGAAGGGGACCCAGATCCAGACAAGGACCCAACTGTGTGTTCTAGCCAGGATGCTGAGCGGCCAGAGCTCCAATCAGTGAGCATCTAGGATGCCTAGTTTCAGAATCAGATGGGGAGGCTCTAACAAGTGGTCTCGGCAAGTAGAAGCACCGGCAGGAATACTGAGACTGAGAAGGGCCGGCCTGGGACTCGGGAACTCTGGGCAGTCCAAGAACTTGGGACAGGCACGTTTCAAGGCGTAGCAACAAGGAAGTGAAGTGCTAACGCTCGGCAGTCCGACCCTTTTTCGGTTATAAGTTTTGGAAAATGTGATCGAGGTTCCGTCCTCCCTTGTGAGTGAATGTAGCATGGGGGTCTTTCGACGCAAAGCTCAGTCACCCTTTTCCACAAGGAGAGACGGACAAGAGAGGCCCGGGGCCGTGGACGCTGCTGGACACTTTGGCAATCGAGATGTGTTGCGTATCGAGCTGCAAGATGAGAAAGAGCGGGAGAGACTGCAGAGTGAGAGCGAATGGGGAGCTACACGGGTACGTGGAGAGTCGTGGTATGAGCTGGTGAGTTGGGGTGGACGAAGTGTGGATGGATGCCATGGGATGCTGTCCAGGTTCAAGGGTCGACCGACAATTGGGATGAATGATAAATGAGCTACATATGGTAGCATCCCTTTGGTACAGGGTCCGCATGTACACCGTCCAAGACTCTGTTCTAGACGCAGCCTTTTCGACTGGTGCTGGTGGCCTGGGTTGGCGAGGATTTGGGCAAGGTATCAAGGTGTTGGTGATGCTGCCTTGAGGTTGGGAAAGTGGGCAACAAGTGGACGGTTAACACAAACTGACCTTTGGCGTCAACAACGTAAGCAGTGGTCGATGGTGGGAAAACACCCGGTCTTGTCGGTAGGGGTTAGATTTCTGACAGCAGATGGGTAATCAAACCAGATGGTCTGGATTGGATGATTAGAGCTGAGGTGGTTGTAAATGGTGGTGGATGAAGTGTTGTTCTAGGAGAAGATGGATGCAGAGGGGTACGTTTGCACTGTAGTGGTTACGTGCACTTCCTTCCACTTGCATGGCATTCAATGGCGTGGGATTAGACCGGAGTACGAATGAAATAAGACTGCACTAACTAATATGGGCAGTGGAACCAGCAGATTTCGCACTTCCAACCGCGGAACAATGTTACTGGAACGATACTCCCATTGTACATTGCCGTACGCTCTCCAATAATGGACCCCGCACGAACCAATGACGGAAAAACAGGAGCACAGAGGAAAGTGTGTTCATGAGCTCGTCCATCGTGACTGCCCTTTTGAACCAGAACTGTCTTCCAGATAACTTGGGGAAATTCTATTGAGGGCAGGAACCTGGAGGCAACAGTGAGCGAAAATTTCTTCCACACGCACACGCTGCACACACACAACTGGATTTTGACAACCACCAAAACTCTCAACTTCTCTCGACCTGGACGAGAAATAGCCACCATACACAACTGCCAATCCACCTATTGCTGATGAGCGAGAATCACCACAACGTTGCACCCCACAACTCAGACATACCTGCAATACCATGGTGCCGAATCTCGACTGATCTCATTTCGGAGTCCATCCCATTCCTCACATCCTCTTGCTGTACCTGCAGATCGCTGTCAGTACTTGCCAATAGTGCTGCCAATCACCACCTCTTTCCCCAGGCTTGTTTGCCATGGTAGAAGCGAGAACGAGCACTGCCATCGTCGCCAGTTCCGCACTCTACCCTCCATCTCATTCAACTCTCAACGGCTTCTTTCCCGGATGGGCATGGCTCTGTCTCGGGAACGCCTCGTTCATCTTCAACTGCTGCTTCTGGAATCTGACCTGACGCCCCATGGAAAACGAACGCCCTGGTACTTTCCATCGGCCTTTTCTCCGGACCACCAACAGCCAAACAAAAAGTCTCCTCCAAAATGCAACAACCACCAAGGTCAGAACCGGTCTCGCTACCCGATATCGTTGTCTGCCCCTACCCTGACTTGCCGGTCTTTTGCTAGGGGGAGCAGCTGGGGGGAGCCGCTATCACAGTGCACTGCTCCATACGCACTCCTCTTAGGGTCTGGGATCTAATCTGCCATCTGCCCCCTTTGGTCACCTTGGTGTTCTTAAGAGCCAGTTGCTTACACAGCAGGGCGAGCAGAACAAGGATACGGCTTGAACATGCCCTCCATCATTAGCACCCACCGGATCGAATTGAGCTTCGAGTGCATAGGTCCATGTGTTCGTTGCCTCTTTCTCGATGGCACTGTTGCTAGGCCCGGGGTTGATGTAAGGGCGGGAGAACGGAAAGCCATGCTCACCATGCATTGGTCGTGTTCCTTGGGAGACACTACTGGGTTTTGACAACCCGTTCAGCCTCCTTGTAGCGCTTCTGGCCGCAAAACGACTGGACATGCCCTCACTGGCCCATGTTAGGTTGGGAAAACGCACCAAGACACATCTTGACCATCACAGCAAAGAAAGCCATGTTGTCAATGCCCTCGCCATATCGCCATGCGCCTGGGCAGGGATCGTTGCCTTGTCACTTTGTTGATTGCCCTGACGTCGTTAGTTGCTGCACAAGATCTACACTCTTGTACAGGTACCTGAAGAGGACTTACCCAATCATGGCCTACCTAAATCCGGATACGTTATTGGCTCCCTGTACCGTTCTATGGCTGAAGCAGGGGTGTACAAGTACCGCTACTTGTTCGCTGTTTAAATTCCCCCAAAAACGTACCAGCGTGCCGGCTCCTTTTAGCCCCTCCCAAAAGGCGTCTCCCACACAACTTGCATGAGGCGAGTGGACTTTTACCTCAACCATCACGGACCCTTCCCGAAGCGCCCGGGCTTACCCAGTATCTTCTGCCGGACAAGTGGTTCAATCATCACGACTCTGCTTCCTCACCGCCCCATACACTCCATATGCTAGTACCTCTGCGGCACGGCGGCGAGGGGAACCAGCCCGTAGCAAGAATCCCAGAAAAGCGAGCGGAAATTGTCATTGGCGAGGAAATCATGTCGAATACCGGATACATCCGTCATGCCGCCTTGACGTGGGGCAGTCTGAACCACTCCGACTCTTCTAAGAAACGATGGCTTGGGGATGGATCTTTGGGAAAATTCAATACTCTCAAGGCACCCGAAAGTCTAGACCGGCTCAACCGGCAAGGGGTAAGTATACGGGCGACGCATTGAAACTGCTCAATTACTCTCTGCTTACGACTTCCGCCACTCATGAGGGATCAAACCGGCTTTTCAGCAGACGGAATGAGGGCGTTCAGCTTTCCACACATCGACATCACATGATGGCAGTGGTTAAACACCAAGCCAACTCAGACCACACTCGACTGCTTCCTACAGATTTTCCCACAGCAATGTCAACGGAGCCGAGTACAACCTTTTACAGCAAAGTAGGCTAGAGGGCGTCTTCACTTCGGGTGGTTGTCATCCACGATCGTTCCTAATCCTGCGCTCGGGCGTTCTGCTTCAGCATGTCTCTTCCTCTTGCGCTGATTCATCGTGGCTTCCGCTTTTCTACGCTTTGATCTTGGTATCTTCACTGATGGATCCTAACCCAACCCAAGTGGCTATGACTTTTCGGCTCGCCGGAGTCGACAGAGGCCGCAACCGGAGCTTCTGCCGTTCATATGCCTCTGCTGTTTCTTCCCATTCCTGTTGACACAGGTTTGAGGTGTAGCGTGTTTATATCTGCATTTCGGTTCTTCTAGCCCAATCAAGATGCCTGACTTCCGAAGGAGTGCGTCGACTTGTCGAGGGTCCGGACATATGCAAGCCCTGTTATTATGCCTTTCAGAGACTCGCAGGATTTTTTTCTGTGTGCGAAACACTCGAACTCATTTCCTGGTATTCCTATACACGCACGCATGGGCCTGTTTTCGCCATCCTCGCTGACCAGCCTCGAGTGAATAGCTGGCTGGCTGACCATGCTCACCTGGAACACTCCGCTTTTCCCCCCAGCGCATTCACTGTAGCATATTGATCGGTTTGTGCTAGTGGACCTGATTCTTCAGCATCAGAATTAGGTGTTAGTTCCATGCTATGAAACTGAAATGATTTATTCAACTCCACAGGCACTGTCACCAGGTATGCTCAAGCCTATGGACCCTCGGATGGAAACTTGTGTAGTAGTCCGATTTCCTTTCGC